CCAGTGCCACTTCTGTTCCAAAATCATCTTCTTGCCTTGGAAAAATGTAACCACTGAAGAAGAAAATTGCTGAAAATTAGCAATAAACAGATAAAATCCTGCCATTTTCCTCTTGTTTGGTACGCCCGTGCTATTTAATGTAATTTAAATTGTGTAAGCCCATGTTGCTTAATGTAATTCAAATTGTCTGTTGCTTAAATGCAATGAATTTTCCCTTCCTCCCTCCCTGTTTTCCCTGGGTTTTTGCACTTTTCCTTTGTCCTGGCTCTTCCAAGCACCGCTGTAATTCAGGATTACACCAGAGAACGACTCAAAGAAAATGTTTAGGATGAACTGTGTGATATTGATGCCAAATTACAAGGTGCCTTATGAGGAAATTGGAGCAAAATGGATTTAAAATGGGACTCATTTGATTAAGTAGAGAAGTGCTCGGTGATTGTGGGGAGAGGAGCCCTTGGGACTATTACTAAAAGAAACTTTCTGGGTAGTAAACCATTATTTGCATTTCATTTAGGATAGAAAAATACTTTGTTAGCAGCTGAGCCTCAACAGGGAAGCAATCTGGTGTGGAAAATAGTTTTGATTGTTGGCAGCTCCGGGTCTGAGCTGTTCCCTTCACAGCTCATCATTTCTGTGGACAGCCCTCAAATCCCATCTTTTCCTCCATCAGCAGCTCCTGAGCCGGTCATTCCCTTTCAGAGAGACTCGTGGTGATCTTTTATCCTTCTCTTCTCTCCTCCTCACAGGTCACTCCAAACCTTTTCCATCTCTCACCACTGAAGCAGCTGGCTTCATCTCTTGGAAGAAAATATTATCAGATCTTGTCAGATTCTCCCATTACAACATTTCACCCTTTCGATTTTGGAATATTTGCCTGTATCTGCTCTTAACTCGTGTTCCAGTGCTGGGGTGTCCCTCCCTGGTGCTTTCTGGCTGTGTTTCCATCTCCCCACAGATCTGCAGGGGTTGGGAGGCACAGCCAGGCCCTGTTCTTGGAGCTCCAGGGTGGAGATGGACAGCCTGGAGCGGAGGATGTCCAATCCAGGTGGCTCCTTCTGGGATTTCCATGCCCTGGGTGGGTTCTGTGTTGCCTGGAAACTTTTCCACCACCAGATTGGGCCAGTTTCCCCCGCTTTTTACAAAAGCTGTAAAAGACTAATGCTGCAAGCAACATATGTTTGTGTTTCCAAGGGAAAGGAAGAAATTCACTGTGGAGCACTGGCAGGGATGGAACAGCCAAATTTGAGTCCTAACTTTGTTTTTAGAGATAGGTGAAAGATGTTTGAAGGAATGGGGTGGGAGGGAAAACTCAGGTAGGGCTGATGACAGCGGAGGTGTTTCCATGGATAATTAAGATTTAAGCTCAGCTGCTTCAGGGCTGTTCCAGGTCTCACACAGGGTTACCTGGCAGGTCAGAAGCTAGGGAGGAGGAAGATCCAGGTGACACCTGAAGCAGAGATCCTGCCCTTCTCCAGAGCTCTCAGCTGTCCCATGGCTCAGCTCTGCCACGTCTGATTCAACACAAAACCCTCTGAGGCTGAAATATTCTCAATTTGATGATGGAGCGCTGTAATTCAGGGGGGTATCAATTAGGAATTATGGATTGTGTAGCTGGATATTGGCTTTTAATACAAGAATCTTGTTGGTAGCAGCTGCTCCTGCTCATCTGGTGCCCCTCAGAAGAGGCACCAGTGATATCCACAGTGATATCCACAGCGATAGCAGTGTAACAAACACACCAGCTGCTGCAAAGAACTAACACAGAGACATTTCTTGACATTCTGTTAGGAAACTGATTTAAATATCTGGGTTTATCTGCATAAGCTCGCTCAAAAGGAGCGGAGATAACCTTGCAGATTCATTGCTTTGATGGGAAGCTGCAGGGAAGGGAAATAAATTTACAATTCAGGCTATAAAACAGTCTGTGAGGATTGGAGAAATACATTTTTCCTTTTGAAAATTAGACTTTTTAATCTGCCAGGAGTTCAGTGGGGCAGACAGGAGGAGCTGCCTCGGGGATCCCAGCGTAGGGAAGGATAAACCAGGTTGTGCTGCTGAATCCTACAGGAGCAGCCCATGGTTTGTGTGCCACTGCTTTGGGGGCACTCAGAGCTGTTGGACACATTCCCTAGGACTGGAAAAGAACTCCAAGAGTTCCAGTGCAGCCTTTGATCCATCACCACCTCTTCAAGCATTGGAAGGAGCTGCCCAGGGAGGTTTGGATCCCCATCCCTGGAGGCATCCAGGGAATTCCTGGTTGTGGCACTCGGTGCTCTGGGCTGGGGACGGGGTGGGGAGGGGGCACAGCTCTGACTCGATGGGCTGGGAGGGCTTTTCCACCCTCACTTCTGTGGATTTCTTACCCTCTTTGGGATGCACAGCACCACCTGCACACCTGAGCTGTTGGAACAAGAACAACCTCTCTCACTTTGGAGCATTGCTGCTGATATTTCACTTTTTGGAAAGCAGACCAGTACTGATTTCCATATTCCCTTCTAAATAAATCCCTTGCCAAAAATATCAACCATTGGCCTCTGCTGAGATGGTGACTTTGAGAATTGCTTCAGCGAGAACGTGCCTTCTTGGCATTTAGAAAACAATTCCTGCTTTCCAGCAGGGTATTAATAATTTCTTACTCATGTTGAAGTGATGTAAGATGAAAAATTAATGTGGATGCTGCTCTCTCTTCTGGATCGTGCGAGCTGGTGGTGCCTCTGATGTGCATGGTCTTAAATGAAGTCAAGGTTTCCTTTTGAGCTCTCATTTCCTTCCAAAGTGAGGAATAGAAAACTGACACTGTAAATACTTTTAAGTGGTTCAGACTGTTGATGTTTGTTTCTTTATCAGCCTTGTTAACAGAAAAGGGAAAGTCCTTTGATGTGGTCCGAAGGTTTGGTTGTAGAAATTCGCGTGTTTTGCTTCAGTGACTAAAACATGGGCTGGAAAGAGAAATCTTTGGGCCTTTTTGTGAGTTATTTTTTAACATGGTGTAAGTTTCTCTCATCATTTCTGCCCCATCTATCCACAGAGCTAAATAATGAATATTTCTACAGGGAAAGCATAAAGCTTTTTGGGGATCCTTGAAGCACTTCTAATAAATGATAAACACGCCAAAGATCTTTTTAAATACTGGCTTGTGCTGGAGCCAAGTTGTGTTTAAAGGTTTTGTACTGGGATGGATGGCTTGGTGGAGTGGATTTGGCTTTTGAGCCATTTGGGGAGTCACTTTCTTCCACCACCTTTCCTTCCAACTCGGGGGAAAAAGGGAATTTATCAGCGGGTTTATCATGGCTGTTGTATGTGTAGGAAGGATGGGATCTCCAGGGAGGAGTTACTGGAGGCTGTGAGGATAAATCAATTTTCAGTAAATCTGGGTGCAGAGTGGGAAGCAGGGAGAGAAGAGAGCTGCTGGATTTGCAGTTGGGGCTGCAGGAAGTACCTGCTTCCATAATTGATGTTTGGGGACAAGGAGAGGGCCCTGTGGGAGAAATCAACATCCATTGAGTGGACAAACAGATGTGAGCTAAAATGGAATGGAAAAAAAAAAAAAAATAAAGATACCCACTGACCCAAATTTCTTGCAGTGTCCTGTTCTGTCTGGCTGAAAATTTCCTGCTCTGCCTGCTAAGCCTTACTAAGGAAACAATTCCTTGTTGGAGCTTTTTCCCACATATGTTTTTAGGATTTCAGAATGTAGAGGGTTTAATGCATAAGCCCATTGTTTGAGGCTGCCCCAGCAGCATCTCCCAGGCTGCGTGTGCTGAGCTGAGCCTTGGATTGGGAAAGGCCAGGCTCTGCCAGGAAATTCAGTGTTTTGTAAACACTGGGGTTTGCTGCTCTGCAGCCTGCTAAATGGTCAGCACTCCTTTGAAAAGCAAATGGAAGCAATCCCATGGAAGCAATCCCCTGGAAACAAAAAGCAATAAATGTTTGTGGGCACTTGAAAGGGTTCAGAAGTTTATTATTGTTGGGTTGTGCGTGGGACGTGGAGGAGCAGCCGGGGTCGGTGGATGAGCGCCATGCAATTGTCATTTGCTACTTTTAATTAGGAGCTGACTTTGTTTCTGGGGAAATTCATCCTCCAGAGGAGGCCACCAGGGCTGGAGGGATGGAGCAGCTCTGCTGGGAGGAAAAGAGAAAAGCCCTGCTGGGATTGTTCAGCCTGCAGAGGAGAAGCTTTGTGGTGGAGGAGCTGCAGATGGAGAGAAAGGAAAGGATGGAGAGAGAGGATTTCCAAGGGATGCAGTGACAGACAAGGGGAATGGTTTAATCTGACAGGGAATTGGTTTAGACTGGATATGAGGAAGGAATTCTTGGCTGTGTGGCCCCATCCCTGGCAGCCCAAGGCCAGGTTGGATGGGCTGGGAGCAGCCTGGGATGGTGGAAGGTGTCCCTGCCATGGCAGGGGCTGGAACGGGAGATCTTTTATATATATATATCTCTAAAAAAATATATATATATATGTATATATATCTCTAAATATATATATATATATATAAAAATATATATATATCTCTAAAAATATATATATATATATAAATATATATATCTCTAAAATATATATATATAAAAATAAATAATATAAAATATCTATAAAAATATATATTTTATATATATATTTTATATATATAATATATATGTATGTATATGTGTATATATTATATATATTTTATATATATAATATATGTGTGTGTATATGTATATATATGATATATTATATATAATATATATAATATATGTATTATGTATATGTATGACATATATAATATAATATATAATGTATTATATATAATATATATATAATTTATAATATTATATATTTTTATATATATATATAATATTTATATATGGAAATCCTAAACAGAGCAACCAAAGGGAATTTTGTGGTGTTATTTTGCTTAATTAATTTTTTTTAAACCACTATTTCATGATATTTTTTTACTAAACCTATATAAATACAATATATATCATAAGATACATTATGACATATGATCTAATTTTCTCTATTTGTCCCCCCACAGTGGCTCTGGGTCGGAACCAACCCCTGAAGAAAGAGAAACCCAAATGGAAGAGCGATTACCCCATGACGGACGGGCAGCTGCGCAGTAAGAGGGATGAATTTTGGGACACAGCCCCAGCTTTTGAGGGCAGGAAGGAGATTTGGGATGCCCTCAAAGCTGCTGCCCACGCCTTTGAGAGCAACGACCACGAACTGGCACAAGCCATCATCGACGGCGCAAACATAACGCTACCCCATGGTAGGTGCAGCTCTCAGCAGGATGTTTTATTTAACCCTCCCCAAAGGGTTAAATAATGATGTTTTTACCCCAAAAATCAGTGGATGGAATGGTTTAAAATATCTGTGTTTGGGTGTGGACGCGCTCCCGCTCGCGGTTTCCAAGTAAAATGGTGTTAATGTTAATTAAATATTATATTAATGTTATATTAGTTAATATAATATAATTATATTATATGTATATATATTATTATATTATATATCTTGGTCCCCTTTATTAATATAATATTAATAAAGGGACCAAGAAAATCTGTTTTTTTGTGTAGTTGCTGCAGTTGGGATGGATGGTGAATGCTCAGGTGGAGTCTGATCTTTACAGGCAGCACTTGGCACTTTCTGTCATCTCCTGGAGCACCTGGATGCTCCAACTTTCTAAACTTTTTTTCATCATTTTCATAACTTTTCATAACTTTTTTTTCTCTTTGTAAGGAAGTAGATTATTTTTCCCCTCCTGATTTTATGGGTTTCTTTAGCATTTGAACTGTTGGGGTTTTTAAAACTTTCTCTTCTGAAGAGTCTGAAAAAATTTCCCAAAAATTTTGGGGCTGGCAATTTGCTGTTAGATCATGTGTGAGATAAACTGCAAGCTCTTATTTTGGGTGTTTTCCACTTTGTTTTGTTATTTTGAATCCTGCTGGCTGGGTTTTTTTTTTTCCAAGCTCTAATTCCCTCTAAAATTAACTTAATCAACTCTAAAATTAATCTTTTCCCCATATTCCTAATAAAAATAAAGTGAGAGGGGGCTCATATAAAATTTTTTAAAATTATTATATTATTATTATAAAATTATAATAATAGAATAAAAAAATCAGTGATACATTCATTTTTTTCTCCTGCAAATTTAATAGTTTAAATATTATCTTAATTATATATAATTATAATGTTATATAATATAAATATTAATATAATATATATTTATATATTATATAAAATTATATATAAAATTATAATAATGGAATAAAAAACCAGTGATACATTCATTTTTTTCTTCTGCAAATTTAATAATTTAAATATTATCTTAATTATATATAATTATAATGATACATACAATATAAATATTAATATAATATATAAATATAGATCTATAGATTATATAAAAATCATAAAAAAATATAATAGTATAAAAATCAGTGATACATTCATTTTTTCTGCAAATTTAATAATTTTAATATTATCTGAATTATATATAATTATAATGATATATGATATGTGTATTAATATAATGTATAAATATATATTATGTAAAATTATATATATAAAATATAATAATAGAATTAAAAAATAGTGATACATTCATTTTTTTCTTCTGCAAATTTAATAATTTAAATATTATCTGAATTATATAATGATAATGATATATAATATGAATATTAATATAATATATAAATATATATTTTTAGATTATATAAAATTATATATAAAAATATAATAATGGAATAAAAAATCAGTGATACATTCATTTTTTTTCTTCTGCAAAACCATGTAATAGCCGGGGCTGTGGTGTTTCCTTCCATTTATTTGCTGTGTGTACAACAAGAGGCTTAAAAAGAAAAACCCCAAGCCCAGCCCCACATCCACATTTCCCTGTCCCTGTGTTCCAGGCGTGGATTCCTGAAAAAACAAAACCTTGCAGGAAGTGGAGGAGTGAGAAGAGGGGGCTGGGGAGTGAGTAAGGACTGGCAGATCCAGATTTTGCACGGAGAGACTGGAGCTTTAGCTGATGCTGCAAAAATAAAATTGCTTTTTTATTCCAGAATCCTACAGGAAAGGGATGGGAAAAATTAAAAATAAAAGGAAAAAATCCTTTCTGAGGCTGCTTTCAGGCAGATCTGTCACTCCTGTGGTGTGAGGAAGGCTCTCAGCTGTGTAATTTTTCTAATGGATGCCTTTTGCTGGATTCTGCTGTTAAAAATAGCGTGTAAGAAGTATTAAATAAATAAATAAGCTGGTGGGATGGGCTTAGCACTTCTCATCTATCTTGGGTGACTCTGTGGGACGGATTTAAAAATAGAAATAACGTTATCACCAATTTATACTTTTTTTTTTTCTTTTCCTTTTTCCCTCCTCCTGTCTTAAAGTAGCACATCCTCCATATTTTATTAATGAGCCCATTGAAAATTAATGAAGAAGAGTTTTCCATACTTCTCAGCTATCAAACAGGAAATGTTGGAGTGTGTAATATTTTATAATAATGTTCATGCTGAGCTGAACTTGGCCTGCAAGTCATTCATGCTAACTGCAATCTGGCTGGGGTTAAGTGGAGTTTTTAAATTTCAGGATGGGCACTTCGTGTGCAGCAGAGTTCCCAGGATATTGGGGTTTAATCTCTCAGAGATTGCATATTTGCAGCCATTATTTTGCTTTGTTGCTAAATAGAAAACATTTTAAAATATTAATAATATAATAAAATTAATATTTATACATATTTATTAAGTATAAATGTCAATATATAAAATATTTATAAATATTAATGTATTCATAAAGCCACATGTATGCATATTTATAAAATATAAATTGCTAAGATATAAATATTTATATATTAATAAATCAATAAAATAATATTTCTAAATATATATATAAGTATTATATATAAAGATATCTTTATATATAAGTCCATATTTATAAATATTTATAATATATATATTGCTAAAATATAAATTGGAGAAAAACTCAATTTATACAGGAGGAAGTTGTAATAAAATGCAGATTAACTTTAATAGGTACCTTTAATACCCTTAATGATTACCTTTAATAGGTTTTAATAGAATAATTATTATTAATTATTGCCTTTAATAAGTTACCTTTACCCTTAAAGCCACTCCACCATCAGCTTTGGCTCAGGGGTGTTTTTAACCCTTATCAGTTGTAGGAAATAAATTCTGGGATGGACACTTCACCTGCTGCAGAGTGCTCAGGATATTGAGGTTTAATTCCTTTAATAAAAGGGTTTCTCTGCTGAGTTTTCAGCTGTTTGTTCAAACACAGCTCCTGTGGCTCCCTGGCTTTTCCAGGGAGCAGCTCTGACTCTTTATTTGCTGTGTGATCCCCAAAAATGGGATGGGAATATTTCCCTGGAACGCTGGGGAGAAGTAAAGGGCATCACTGAAATATTCCCGCTCTGAATAGAGCATTTCCCTCTCCTTTGGCTGAAATATTAATTAGGAAAATATNCTCATATAAAATTTTTTAAAATTATTATATTATTATTATAAAATTATAATAATAGAATAAAAAAAAAGTGATACATTCCTTTTTTTCTCCTGCAAATTTAATAGTTTAAATATTATCTTAATTATATATATAATTATAATGTTATATAATATAAATATTAATATAATATATATTTATATATTATATAAACATTATATATAAAATTATAATAATGGAATAAAAAACCAGTGATACATTCATTTTTTTCTTCTGCAAATTTAATAATTTAAATATTATCTTAATTATATATAATTATAATGATACATACAATATAAATATTAATATAATATATAAATATAGATCTATAGATTATATAAAAATCATTAAAAATATAATAGTATAAAAATCAGTGATACATTCATTTTTTTCTTCTGCAAATTTAATAATTTAAATATTATATTAATTATATATAATTATAATGATATATAATATGGATATTAATATAATGTATAAATATATATTTTTATATTATATAAAATTATATATATAAAATATAATAATAGAATAAAAAATAGTGATACATTCATTTTTTTTTCTACAAATTTAATAATTTAAATATTATCTGAATTATATAATGATAATGATATATAATATGAATATTAATATAATATATAAATATATATTTTATAATTTATATTTTATTTATATTTTTATTTATATAAAATTATATAAAAAATATAATAATAGAATAAAAAATCAGTGATACATTCATTTTTTTTCTTCTGCAAAACCATGCAATAGCCGGGGCTGTGGTGTTTCCTTCCATTTATTTACTGTGTGTACAACAAGAGGCTTAAAAAGAAAAACCCCAAGCCCAGCCCCACATCCACATTTCCCTGTCCCTGTGTTCCAGGCGTGGATTCCTGAAAAAACAAAACCTTGCAGGAAGTGGAGGAGTGAGAAGAGGGGGCTGGGGAGTGAGTAAGGACTGGCAGATCCAGATTTTGCACGGAGAGACTGGAGCTTAGCTGATGCTGCAAAAATAAAATTGCTTTTTTATTCCAGAATCCTACAGGAAAGGGATGGGAAAAATTAAAAATAAAAGGAAAAAATCCTTTCTGAGGCTGCTTTCAGGCAGATCTGTCACTCCTGTGGTGTGAGGAAGGCTCTCAGCTGTGTAATTTTTCTAATGGATGCCTTTTGCTGGATTCTGCTGTTAAAAATAGCGTGTAAGAAGTATTAAATAAATAAATAAGCTGGTGGGATGGGCTTAGCACTTCTCATCTATCTTGGGTGACTCTGTGGGACGGATTTAAAAATAGAAATAACGTTATCACCAATTTATACTTTTTTTTTTTCTTTTCCTTTTTCCCTCCTCCTGTCTTAAAGTAGCACATCCTCCATATTTTATTAATGAGCCCATTGAAAATTAATGAAGAAGAGTTTTCCATACTTCTCAGCTATCAAACAGGAAATGTTGGAGTGTGTAATATTTTATAATAATGTTCATGCTGAGCTGAACTTGGCCTGCAAGTCATTCATGCTAACTGCAATCTGGCTGGGGTTAAGTGGAGTTTTTAAATTTCAGGATGGGCACTTCGTGTGCAGCAGAGTTCCCAGGATATTGGGGTTTAATCTCTCAGAGATTGCATATTTGCAGCCATTATTTTGCTTTGTTGCTAAATAGAAAATATTTTTAAATATTAATAATATAATAAAATTAATATTTATACATATTTATTAAGTATAAATGTCAATATCTAAAATATTTATAAATATTAATGTATTCATAAAGCCATATGTATGCATATT